AACTTGCAGCTATAGTTCACACCCTGAAAAAATATGGCATCACTATCTCTATGGTGGTAAATGTAAGATATACACCTATCACAAAAGTCACAAATACTTATTCACTCAAAAGGAGTCAAATATGAGACAGTGAAGATGGCTGGAGTTGGTCAATAACTGATTGCACCATTCTTTACAACTGGGTAAAGCCAATATAGTTGTTGACACTCTTAATAGAAAAACAACTGGAAAGTTGACAATTCCAACCACTCAAGCACATTTAGTTAAGGAATTTGAGAATTTGAGGCTAGAGGTTGTTGCACCTTTGGCATAGAAGTCAGCTATTGTTACACCTCTAATAATTCAACCCAAAACGAATTAGAGAAGCCCAAAAGAATGACCAATTTTTGTGTAAAATCATGGCTGAAGCTAGGACAGATAAGCAAAGAGGATTTGTGATAACTAACAATAAGGTACTTATGTATAAAGGCAGATTGTGCGTTCCTGAATATAAGGGATTAAGGAAAGAGATTTTGAAGAAGCATACTCCACACCTTATGCAACATATCCAAGTGGTACAGAAATATGTCAAGACTTTAGAGATAAGTTTTGGTGGGGAAAAACAAAAAGAGGAATATGATTCTTTTTAAGTAAGTGTACGGTTTGTCGCAAGTGAAAGCAAAACTGATGCTAACCCACGTAGCAATAGTAGCTACGAAAGCCACACAAGATTGATTCAACCCCAAGAAAACCAAGAATCAATGTTTAAATTTGATTCAAAAATATTGGACCAAGTAACCAACACAATCGCCGTCAATATATTGACCCCGTGATTACAAGATCCAAGAATCTAACTCATTTTGTTTGAACGCCACAAGAAATAATCTTGATGAGTTCAGAATTTATTGGATGAAGAACAAGAGGAAAGAGATAAAGCCTTGAAATTAATCTCTCAGTAATTGTGTGTTTTACAGTGAAAACAATAATCATTATTTATAGGGAATCCCTAAAACCCTAGTAAAAAATGGAATTAAACTCTAAAAATAA